ATCAGCTTGAGGAACTTACCTTCCAATCCTATCTTCATGAGTGTCTTGATTAGGAATGGGTGTTGGATATTGTCAAATGCTTTTTCTGCATCTATGGATATTATCATATGGTTTTCATCCTTTTTCTTCTCGATGTGGTGTATAATATTGATGGATTTTCAGATGTTAAAACATCCCTGCATCCCTGGGATGAATCCTACCTGGTCTTGGTGGATGATATGTTTTATATAATTTTGTATCTATTGGCCAATATTTTGTTAAGAATTTTTCCATCTGTGTTCATTAGAGATAGCGGTCTGTAATTCCCTATACATGTGGGGTCTTTGCCATGTCTGGGTATCAAAGTTATGCTGGCTTTGTAGCATGCTTTTGGGAGTTTGCCATCCTTTTCTATGCTATGGAATACTTTGTGGAGGATTAGGGTCAACTCTTCCCTGAATGCTTAGTAGAATTCTGCTGTGAAGCCATCTGGCCCTGGGGCTTTTGTTGTTGGTAGCTTCTTGATGACCCTCTCTATTTCTTCTTTAGATATGGGTTTGTTGAGGTTCTTGACCTCTGTCTGAAATAATCTAGGGAGGGCCTGTTTTTCCAAGTATTTATCCATGTCTTCCATGTTTCTGACTTCATTAGAATACAGACCTTCATAATACTTTGTGATTATCTTTTTAATCTCATTGAGGTCTCTTGTAATTGCCCCTGTTTCATCCCTCATACTGGCTGTTGATTTTTGCTCCTTTCTATCCTTGGTCAGATTCACCAGTGGTCTATCTATTTTGTTGATCCTTTCATAGAACCAGCATTTTACCTTAATCTGGAAGGCCACCACAGCCCTCTGTCAGTGAAGAACATATGAAAATCAAACAAAATCATAGGCTCCTCTTCACCAAGAAACTAGCAACGAGTGGTCATCTAATGATAAAAACATAGCAAACCAAGCCAAATGTAGTACTTCCCACAACAATTATTCTGACCAGGAACACAATAGTCTTGGTAAACAATGAAAAAATGTAGAACAAACCTCAATTTTTTTTTTAAAGGCCAGAACTCCTAGGCCAATAGAAACTAGGAAGACCTCTGGGACTGTCACCCCAAATAACCTTTGAACATGAAATTGAAACTATTTCTACAAGTTGCCTTTCAACCAAATATTAGATTGGCTTATAAAACCAAGTCATCAAATGCAAACTGAGAGGGCAAGAAGGAGACAGGAGGCTAATTCAATGCAAACAGAACAAACAGAATGGAAATAATAATAATACTGACATAATGTGAAAATTATAATCAATGGCATGTCACACTTTGTGTACAAATTGTTAAAGAGAAACTAATTTGTTGTGAACATAAACAGGTACTATACATTGTTTTAAATCATATCCTTTGTTTATTCTGACTTATAACTAAATCATGAAAATTTAATTACTGGTTCTTTATTATCAGAATGGTTTAGAATCTTGAAAATTCTTTTAGAGTAAACTTTGAAATACATCAATTTTTTTAATTTAATGAATGGTCTAAAGTGGTAGAATAGCTCAGTATTGCCTCTTTAATGTTTTTTGTTGAGTTCTGAAATATCAAAAACTAGCTGGGTTGTTCCAGAAAGTTTGCAAAGGTGTTGCACAGAGCAGGTAATAGCCATCCTTACAAGCAAGAGTTTGTTTTTTTCTGAAATCCTTGTCCCAAGAAACATTAGCCTCAGCAATTACATCAACATGTTACTGGAGTACTAGTGCCAGCACTCGGGCCTTGATACTGTGGCATTAGTCTCCAGCAGCCCCTAAGTTCAGCAGTGAAGTACATCCTGGCCCTTATCTCCTCCAGCATAGGAGGGTAACCTTTGTAGGACTTTGTCTCTGGCAGTTTGCTTGGGCTCTTATTGTGATCTTTGTAGAAGGGCTAGATTCAGTTCTGATAGATGTTGGATCCTGAGTTCTACTGGATTCCTAGAAAGGCTTATTAACTGAGTCATATCTGTGGAAACACAACAACACAACTTGCTGTTGTGATGCTTTCATCTCTAAGGGCCTTGGTTATACAACACACCGTGCCAACATCTGGGCTCCTGGCCAGTACATAGCAGACTATGTATCCAGTGTGGCCATTTGGCCATTTCTGGGGGCTCCTGGATAAGGTATGTGTGGAGCACTATGTGTGCCATCTCCATTGTAATAGTAATCCACCCCACCCCATACAGTAGTCTAGACGTGCAGATGGAAATCGCCCACAGACCTCTAGCTGTTATATATAACAAGTGTGTATGGAAGATGGGAAGACGTATTCCACCCCCAAACCACCTACCCACCCCCAACTAAGTCCGACAGAGAATCTATGTGTAGGAATGTCATAAGTCACAAAAAATTATCTTTGCCACCTTGGTCATGTAGTCCACTGCCCTTCCTTTCAGAAGTACTATATCCAAAGGCTACCTGGTAGATAAATATATATCCTGGTTTCTTGTTTTGTGGGCTGAAGAATATTTACCTATTGAGGGGGGAAAAGAGAAAATAATTTAAAATAATAAATATTCAGCCTGAATCCTCTTAAAGTGGTGCTTCTTCTCCATCCTGGGTGCCTGTCAGAACAAGGTCATTGTTATGTGCTTGGGCCCCACCCCAGGTCTTCTCCACGGCAATGAGCCCAGGCCCTGTGTCTTATCAGCCCATAGTGGGGTGACCCGTCTTCCATGTGTGCTCTTCAAACTGGACTCCTTCCTGCAGAAAGAACATGTAGCACTTGGGGTTAGCCATCCACAGCAACTACGTTCTTTAAAGGCCACAGTTCTCTGAGATACATTAAACTGTTCTAATTTCCTTTTCTCCAGTGTCCTGGAATGCAAAAGAAAGAGACCATCACAAGGTGGGCTTATTCTTTTTTCTGGGCTGACATCATTTTTTGTTTGCAGCAAAACAAATGAATGGTCCAAAATGCAGGTAACAGTGGGATGAGTTAAGGTGACCATATAATTTTCCACTCCAGGGCGCTTTTTTGTAGAGCAGAGATGGGTTTGTTAACAATGACCCAGGAGTAAGATTAATAAGCCATGGCGTAATGGACGTGCTACACTAAGAGGCCACAACAGTTGTATCTGTTTTCCCTGTTGCCCTTAGAAGTTAAGAAGCTGCACATCCAGTAATAACTGTCATGGAATATAGGGAACGCTCTATGAATTTATTCATCACTCTGCTTGAATCATTATGGAAGAAATCAGAGGTGGACACCCAACACCTGCCTAAACACTGCCATCTACATTAAGAATGTTTACTGTATCATAGAAAGGTCTATTCCTGGGTTCATTTAAATATCCTTCTTTTCTTTGCAGGTACACTTCACCAATAAGTTGGTTTTCAATTCTGAATGAATGCATCAGACACTCTTCAATTTCACAGAATAGGGGTCAGCAAACTTTTCAGATGAAAGAGCCAATCCTGTCTCGCACAATTAAAAAATTATTTGAGAACCATAAATATGTTTTATAAACAACATGATCTGAATAATAATATCCTTTAAATTTTTTCACCTTTACTTCAGAGCCACATTTACATACTAAAAGCTGAATATATGTCTTGACTCGAAGTTTGCTGCTCCTTGGGATAGAACAATGACAAGATAAAAAATTGTAATGGTATACTGTATTATATGAGGAAGCTTCAAAAAGTTCACTAAAAAGTGGAATTACCCCTCAGGACCAATAATGAGAGTAGCAATACCAGCAGGGGAAGGGGAAGCTGGGGGAGAAAGGGGGAACTAATCACAATGATCTACATATAACCCCTCCCTGGGGGATGGACAACAGAAAAGTGGGTGAAGGGAGACATTGGACAGTGTAAGACATGAAAAAATAATAATTTATGAATTATCAAGGGTTCATGAGGGTGGGAGAGGGATGAGGAGCTGATACCAAGGGCACAAGTAGAAAGAAAATATTTTGAGAATGATGATGGCAACAAATGTACAAATGTGCTTCACGCAATGGATGGATGGATTGTGATAAGAGTTGTACAAACCACCAATAAAATGATTTTTTTAAAGTGGAATTAAGAGATCATGGATTTTTTTAAACAAAAGAGACAGATAATGGAAATGTTATGTAAGCATTTTGAATTCCCCTTTTACAAACATTTTAGAAAGGAAAAACAACTTCTTGTTGGTTGCCATCAAGTCAATTCCAACCCATAGCAACCTTATGCACACAGAATGAAATACTGCATGGTCCTGTGCCATTTTTACAATTGTGTCTTTGCTTAGCCCATTGTTGTAGTCCCAGTGTGAATCCATCTTGTTGAGGGCCTTCCTCTTGTTCTCTTCCCCTCTACTTTACCAAACATGATATCCTTCTCCAGGGACTGGTCGCTCCTGACAACATGCCCAAAATATGTAACGCAAAGTTGTCATCCTTGCCTCTAAAGCACACTACTCTGGCCATACTTCTTCCAAGACAGACCTGTTTGTTCTTTTGGAATCCATGATACTTTCAGTATTCTACTCCAGCACCGCAATTTAAATGCATCGATTCTTCTTCGATCTTCCTTATCCAATGTCCAACTTGCACATGCATATGAAGCAATTGAAAAATTCCATGGCTTGAGTTAGGCATACCTTAGCCCTCAAAGTAACATCATTGCTTTTCAATACTCTAAAGAGGTCTTGGACAGCAGACTTACCGAATGCAACTCATCTTTTGAGCTCTTGACTGCTGCTTCCATGAGCATTGATTGTGGATACAAGCAAGACAAAATCCTCGACAACTTAAGTTTTTCTCCATTTATCATAATGTTACCTATTGGTGCAGTTGTGAGGATTTGGGTCTTCTTTACATTGAGTTGTAGTGAATACTAACGGTTGCAATCTTTGATCTTCATCAAGTGCTTCAAATCCTCTTCACTTTCAACAAGGTTGTGGTGTGTCACTGCATGTTGCAGGTGCTTAATAAGCCTTCCTCCAATCCTGATGGTATATTCTTCTTCATATAATCCAGTTTCTCTGATTATTTGCCAACAAACATATTAAGTATGATGAGATAATAAAACCCTGTAGCACACCTAAACCAGGCAGTATTCCCTTGTTCAATTCGAACAACTGCTTGATCCATGTAAAATTTCCACATAAGCACAATGAAATGTTCTGGAATTCCCAGTCTCATCAACATACTCCATAGTTTGTTATGCTCCTCACAGTTGAGTGCCTTGGCATAGTCAATATAACACAAGTGAACTTCTTTTATTATTCTCTGATTTCAGCCATCTGACATCTGACATAATATCCCTTGTTCCATGAACTCTTCTGAATTCGGCCTGATCCTCTAGCAGCTCTCTCTGTCTGTGTACTACTGCAACCAGTGTTGAATGATCTTCAACAGAATTTTACTGGCATGTGATATCAGTGATAGTGTTCTATAGTTTGATCATTCTGTTGGCTCACCTTTCTTTGGAATGGGTACAACTCTTCCAGTCAGTTGGCCAAGTAGCTATGTTCTAAATTTCCTGACATAGACCAGTGAGTTCTTCCAGTATTTCATCAGCTTGTTGAAATGTTCCAATGGTATTCCATTAATTCCTGAAGCAAATACTTTCACTGCAGTTTGAAATTCCTTCAGCACCATTGGTTCTTGCTCATAATTCTAATTCTTTGCATGTTTTATTATAGTATTTGGCTGTATCTTCTCAAGCTGCCCTTTAAAATATTCTTTTCAGCTCTTTGACATTATGCTTTCTCTCATTTGCCTTAGCTAGTCTTAAGAGAAAATTTCAGAGCCTTAACTGACATCAATGCTGACCTTTTCCTTCTTTTATGTATTTTAAATGGCCTTTGCTTTCTTCATGAATGATATTCTCGATATCCTCCCACAACTCATCAGGTCTTCAGTCATTAGTGTTCAATGGTCAAATCTGTTCTTGAGATGTTCCCAAAGTTCTGGTGGGATAGACTCAAAGTCATATTTGGACTTGTTTTCATTTTTTCCAGCTTTATCCTGAACTTACATATAAGCAATTGGTGGTTGTTGGAAACAGAAAGATTTCTCCCAAGTTGTCTCCCCCAAATATATGTTAGACTTATGAATGATTGTCAAGTCACCTCCCTGAAGACATTCAGTTACCAGACTACTGTCTGATCCCACCACAGGTAGGCCCAGCTCCCTGATGTTAAGGACAATGGGCTACTTGTCCCTAAAGGCTTGCGGTCATCTTTGGTTCCTGTAAGTGGAGTTTACACCCTACTGATAATGGTCTCTATAGTGAGCCAGAGAACAGGTCAAACTGGTTCAGTGACATCCTAAGTTAGGCCGCAATCCTAAGTGTAGGCTCCTCCCTTCTTGTCACATATTCCTATTTCGTGTATATCCCTACAGTGTCCCCCTCTCATTGCTGTATTACCTATAGTACAACCCCTTCCTGTGACGTATGTCTTTACCTGTATTTTAGGGGGCTTGCACGGCCCCAAAGGTATATAGACCTGGGTTAGCAATAAAGAGCTCTCTCAGGCTCCCCTCTTGGCTCTCATCCGCTCCCCCGTCCTCTCTCCCTGTTCCTCACTCCCCTGTTCCCTTTCCCCTTGTCCTCTTTCCCCTCCCCCTATCTCCACGTGGACCACCAAGCAGGGCTGAGGTGAGCATGCTACCATGAAATGTGTCTGACTCCATTATTTCAGTCTCTTATCTCTCATGCTCTCTAGGACTTTACTATAATCTTTACTTATTATCACTGTACAGTTGCGCCTATCAAGCCCGTGATTTGTTGTGGGGGGCTGGCACTTACCCCCACAAATGGTCTGTTCCACAGTCAGCCCCTGGCCTGGTTCTAGCTGCTGATACTGACTTTCTCTGGAGTCTCTTCCTACAGATGTAGTCAATTTGATTTCTGTGTATGCCATCTGGAGAAGTCCATGTGTACAGTCACCTTTTGTGTTTTTGAGAAAAGGAATTTGCTTTGAACAAGTCATTGGTTTTGAAAAATTCTGTCATTTGATCTCCAGCTTGGTTTTATCACCAAGTCCATATTTTCCAACTTCTGTCCCTTCTCATTTCTTTCCAACTTTTTCATTCCAGGCACCAGTAACTATAAGTGCATCTTGATTACATGTTTGATCAATTTCTGGCTGAAATCTTTGGTAGGATTCTTCAATTTCATCATCACTTGCTTTTGTGTTTGTTATATAAATTTAAATAATACTTGTAGTGATTGCATATACTTGAAGACGGATAGATATAATCTTATCACAGCCGGCATTGTACTTCATGATTGATTTTGCTATGTCCTTCATGACAATGAATTCCACACCATTCCTCTTAGTTGTGTTATTTCTAGCATAGTAAATAATGTGATTTTCTGATTCAAAATGCTCAACACCATTTCAGCTCACTAATACCTAGGATATTGATCTTTCTGTGTTCCATTTCATTTTGACCACTTCCAATTTTCCTAGATTCATACTTATCACACTCCAGTTCCTATCATTAACATATTTTTGCAGCTATTTCTCTTTACCTTGAGTAGTGCCCATCAGCAAATCATGATCTCAAGGCTCCACTTTCACAAGCTTTACTCAATTCACATCACCATGGTCAGCTCCACTCCGAGTAATCAGCTACATCTCAGTCACATTTCAAGTGCCCTCCTATTCGAAGGAACTTTATTCCACTCATCCTCCAGAGCTATCTGAAAATGCTTTTTGTCTATTCATTGGGTCTTTAATGTCCTTCAATGCTTCAAAAATATGCATAGGTTTTCAGCAGTTCCTTCTTCTGAAGAGGGGAGTCAAGTCCATCTTTGTAGTCTGCTCTTAGTCTGGAATCTTGGCTGGGACCTGTTGACTTTGGGTGACCCTGCTGGCATTTGATATACCAGTGACAGCTTCCAGCA